AACAAAATGGAAGAGGTTCTAGATTATCTACCTTTCTTCTTGGCATTGAATTGGATTGGTTGATTGGATCTCTTACCTACCTTCTTTTGAAAAACAGGCCCTAGTTCATGGGTCTTGAGCTTTTTGGATGTATATAAGACCTTGTGGGTTGCATGGGTTTGGAATTTGACAAATACAGAATAGTAAATCCTCTGAATATGAACACAACTCAACAATTGCGTCCTTGGTGCCTGTTAATATATTATTATAGTTTTCAATTTTTTTTTTAAAATAACAATAGCATCCTTTATTGATATATTGAGGGTTTCAAGGCAAAAAGGAATCTGAGATGGATTCGGATTTAGTTGATTTGAAAAATAAAGTCTCCCTTGAGTTCTTTGAATGAATTGGGCTTCAGTTGGGCAGGCCTAAATTCATCGAACTTAAGGGCTTTGGCTAAAGAGAAAGGAAAGTGGGTCGTGGTCAAAAGTAGGCTAATCTAGGCTCTCTGTAAAGGGCCCAAATTAGATATTTTATTTAAAGGCCTAGCCAAGGTAAGGGTAATACCTCTTACTATTATGTAGGTGATTTGGAAACAAAGAGACAATAGAGCTTTTAAAGGTATTGAAAATGAGATTTGCAAGATCAAGGGTAGGTGGTTTTATTTTTTTGAGCCCTTGATGTTGGGGCATGATATCTATAAGATGGAGGATTTTGGGAATATTATAGATAAACTAACTAAAGTATTTATTTATAGGCGGTACCCTCTTGATACCTTTGTGAATAATACATTTCATATTTTTTATTTAAAAAAAAGGCCTAGCCAAGGTAAATCGAAGACTTTCTTATTTCTTTTGACAGATGCATTGTTAAATGATGCAGTTATTTACTTTCCTTTACACATCCCTTTTTCTTGGCTCCTTGGACATCCCTTTTCAGACAGATTCATCAAAGCTGGCTGACTAGCATATCGTTAGTGCTCAATGTCCTCTGTTTTGAAATTTAGAACTTTAGGTGAGTTTGCATGTTCTCAGGTGGTGTATGGCTGGTAGGAAGGTATGTTGAGGGAGTTCTTCTAGGATGAGCTTTAGTAGGGGGTGAGACTTTCCATGGGTAGTTGGGTGAACTTTGATATGGCCTTCTACAACCATAAAATTGGGGGAATCTCGTTTAGGGGTTTGTTTGAAGGAACTTATTAAATTTTTGGGTAGACTTAATAATAGGTGGTGATGGGCATAGTCAAATTCAAGATAGAGGCTTAGTTTTTCAATAATTGAATGTTTTCTTGTATCCTAATAGGTTCTGGCTTGGTGCAGAAGATGCTACTTCAATTAACCTCAAACCACTTCCCTTTTTGTTTGGTGACAAGTGGTTTTCTTTGTGGGTATTGCCAATTTAGGATCCTAGATGTTGGGTGAAGATTCAAAGTTGTGGTAGGAGAGAATATTAGGTCGATGGCTACACTAATCTTAGGTTAAGATAGAAGGGATATCATGTCATATCTAGAATCAAGTAATGCAAAAAGTGACTTTGTGGAATTGGAAGCAAAAGGGATTGTTTGATGAGGTTTTCGCCTGGTTGGATAACCTAGAAAGAGGACTTCATCTTCAGCAGGGAACAAGACATAGCTGAAGTGGGGCTTGCAAACCTCCTTTTAGTGGAGGAAATTGCATGGAGAGTAAGACCTAGAGATAATTCCATCTAAGAATGGGACAAAATAGAGGGTTTTTTCTTAGTATTGCTAGTCATCACAAAATTTACAACTTTATGCGAAAAAATGAGAGGAACGACTAGTCCTTTGAGTGTAACAGTGGCATGAGACATGCGGTAAATTGCTTTTTTGGGAATCTCTTTAGAAATTTGTCAATTAGCTTCTTGGATAGCTCAAATTTATGCTCCTCGGTTGATTGGGAGATAGTGGGTTTTTTTTTAAAATAAAAATAATATCTATTCACAAGTGCCAAGGTGGTATAAAACTGAATAAACAATATTTATGTGTCCGTAAGTCTACCAAAATTAACTTTTACACCATCAAAGTTCTCCTATTTCTTTATTTCCAAACAACCCATAACATATAGCCAAAGGAATAAGGCTTGTGGAGTTCTTAGCTCTATGGATCCTTTTTCATGCCCAGTCTTATCCCTCACAGTTCCAACCATCACTCAATTAATATTAGAGTCCACAGTCTGTAAGCAAAGAGATACCATAAAAGGATATGGTTGCACAATTTGGTGTCCCTCTTGGACAAGAAATGAACATTAGCCAGAATTCTACCCTCTTGATCAACTTGTCCAAAGTTAGAATCCACTGTCTGGCTACCTCCCAGGCAAAAAAGGCCATTTTAGGCAAAACTTTAACCTTCCAAATCTGTTTTGAAAGGAAATCAGTGCACATGTCCTCTCTCTCAGACAAGTGGTAACAGAAGAATTTCATTGAGAACATTCCCCTCTCCCTTTTAGGAAAATTTCTGTGCAATGTTCTCAAAAATAATTGAGACCTAGACCTTTGTTTCGAGCATCAATCTGAAATTTTTTGGTTCTCATTCTGAAGATTAAGGGTGCCTCCAACAATAAGGATTTAGTTCCATTAGCATTGCGAATCATGTCTATTGAGTTCTCGCCAATGCGCATGCTAGAAGGCTCGAACTGATTTCAGGTTATGGTGGGGATGTTTTTTTTTTACTAGAAAAGTAAAATAATATATTTAAGATCACAAAGGAGGTGCAAACCTGCATACAAAAATATTTGTAAATTAATCTGGATGTCAACTAGATCCCTAGTAAAAGTGGGTGATCCTTCAACAAAAAACTCAGTATGGAACAGTAAATCTTTAAATATGTCCATTAGATTTTGTCCCTTCAAAATCTTTTCTATTTCTCTCTTTCCAAATAACTCAAAAGTTAGTCAAAGAAATAAATCTTAATTTCTTATCACCTTTGGTGCCACTTCAAGCCCGTAACTCCTCCCTAACTGAACCAGCTATCACTCAGTCCACTCCCAAAAAACCATAGGCCAAAGACCAAATTCGATGAGCACACGAGTAACAAAAAAGAATCTGGTTTGCTAGATTCTGCACTACTCTTGTATAGAAAACAACTCATTCACTAAAATCTTTCCCATCTTAATTAATTTGTCCAAAGTAAGAATGTTTTCCCTCATAGCTTTCCAAGTGAAGTTAGGGATGGCAACAACTTTTTTGGGAGTTGTATGGGGTGGTAGGTGGGTAATGGAGAGGATATTCAATTCTGGCAGGATGAATGGGTGGTGGATTTTAAACTTAAAGATACGTTCCCTAGAATTTATGCTGTAGCCAGAAATAAGGAGAGGGTGAAGAAGGCTTATGAGGCTGTCGGTGGTGGATGGGCTTGGAATGTTCTGATTAAAAGAAACTTACAGGATTGGGAACTGGAAGAGTATGTGAACTTGTTGCTGTGTTTATCAAGTTTTAAATTGGTTGAGCATAAAGATAAAAGGGTGTGGAAGATTGACAAAAAGAGGGGCTTCTCTGTAAAATCTTTTTATGATTTCCTTACCATGAGAGAGAACAATGACAGTGTGACAGCTCCTTTACAGCAAATTTGGAAATCTAAAGCTCTACCTAGAATTGTGTTTTTTGCATGGGAAGCGGCTAAAGAACATATCTTGACAATTGACAAGTTAAGGAGGAAAGGAAATGTGCTGATCAACAGGTGTTATTTCTGCAAATCTGATGAAGAGACCTGTTTCCATCTACTGCTGGGATGCCCTGTCACTTACGGCATTTGGTCTTCTGTGTTAAGGCTCATGGGGGTGGATTGAGTTATGGCAGGTTGTGTAAGTAAAGAACTTTGAGCTTGGGCAGAACTGTGTAAAAAAAGGAGCATTTATTTCTTATTTCACTTACTATTTTTTGGATGATTTAGAAGGAAAGAAACGTAAAGGGTTTTGAGGGTGTAGAAACTAACTTTATTAACATTAGAGAGAGATGAATTCACACTTTTGCCTCTATTTTGTTAGGTTATGACATTAAAGAGTGGGAAGATATGGATGATGTCATTGACCATTTGATCGATATGTAACTATTTTATATACGGGTAGTACTCTCTTGGTACCTTGTGCATAATAATACTTCACTTTTATTTCGAAAAAAAATAAGCTTTCCAAGTGAAGAATGCCACTCTTGAAGATGTTCTAACCTTCCAAATATGCTTGGTCGGGAAGTCATCATGATTTCTCATCCCCTTATTCAAATATCAATTAAGAAGACTTCATCAAGAAGATACATGATGCATTCAACTTTTGTATTAGTTGTCTCTATAATCTTGGGACACTTATTTCTATGGGGTACCTCAACAACCTCAAATACTCATAGATCTCCCAGATATTTAGATTTCTGACTAGCACAATCGATCACTCCATGCTCCTCCCAGAGTCTGCTAAAGATGCTTTGGTAGTTGCTTGCTTGAAACAAGCAAAGGCGAAAATATCAGGAAATTGATGGATCAAAGCCCCTCTCTCCATTCACTCATCTCTCCAAAAGCTCACTCTGTAACTCGCCTCTTTCTCCGAAAAAAATTTCTCCTAGAAACCAACACTATGAGAACCTCTAGGGGTGTGATGGGGGAGTTTCCAGGTGCATCTATAGATGGATGGCAAATTCTTGATGTGACTTTGATTGCTAACAAGGTTGTTTACTTCATTATCAAGAGAGGTATGGGGCACCTAATTTGCAAGTTTTATATAGAACAAGGTTTATGATCTGTTTCATGAGAGTGCTTGTTGCATATGATGAGAAGACTCGAGTTTGGGAAGAGATGCTCCTTTTACAATTGCATTTACCTATTGTTTCTTCTCTTGCAAGAAAAAGGGAACTCCTGATTTGTGAATATTTTCCTTGAATATTAATTAGATGGTATTGAATGTCACCTCGTGAGGAGTCTGAATGAGGGGGAAGAAGAATAATAAGTTAACCTCCTCCCCCATCTCTTCTTATGCATTGTGTATCCTTTGGATATAACCAGCCAGTCTGTAAATGGGATAATAGTTTCAGTAACAATTACTTTTTTTGCGCCTTTCCCACAACCCACCTTGCCAGTGTTATTTTTCATGAACATAAATTTGGGAGATTAGTGTATCACTTAGATTTTTTTTCTTCTTGTTTCCACTTGGCAAGTTGTCTGGGGGCATATTCTCACCATTGGCAATCTTTGGAAGAGTTGGAAGATTTTAGTGAATTGGGTGTAATTTTTTAAGGAGGCAACATAGACCCTAGATTATTTGTTCTTGTGGTGCTCTCGTACTGCCTTTCGTGCACCACACCACTTTCTCAATTTGCACTGCAGATGCTGTTGGGTCTGTTCAGAATGAGTTATGGGCTTGGAAAGGTTTCCGAGGTGAGAAATCGAGGAGGGAATTTCTCTTTTCGTCTTGGCTACCATGTGGGTTTCCTCAAGGAGAGGAATCTTAGGATGTTTACAGAGTTGAATATTCTTGGTTCCAGACTCTGTTTTTGTATTGAAGGATCATTCTCAAGTTACTAGTGAGAATATGAGAGACCTTATGGAAATTTTCACTGAATTATAAATTCCTTTTTTTGTATATGGGTGGCATCTACTAGTAGTCTAGTTTATAATAGTTCATATTTTCCTTATAAATAATATCTGAGTGTATTTGTTGCTCCAATTTTTTGAGGTTAAAAAGAATAAACATTCAAATCATCATTTTTCTTGGTAAAAGGTTTCTGTGAGATGTACTTGACCAGTGAACAAATTATTGGTTTATGAAGACAATTCTTTCTGTTTGGTGCTTTCTATGATTTGGTTATTTCTGACAGATTTTGGAAGAAGCAGCTAAATATAGCAAAGGATGCCCGTCGTCTTGATGCACTATGCTATAGGATATACTTGAGTTTCCGCATCCTTGAAGGAACTAGCCGGTTCAGAGAACTTCATGAGATTGTGGAAGGTGCAAAGGCAAAACTGGAAGCTGAAGTTGGCCCTGTCAATGGAACTTCTGCCAAGATGGCACGGGGCATTGTTAGCAGACTCCCTGTTGCAGGTGATGTGCAGAAACTCTGCTCCCTGGCAATTGAGAGAGCAGATGAATGGCTTGCCAATACCTCTGCCTTAAATCCAAAT